AAAACAGAATCTTAATAAGAACTAAGAGCAGTTATTTATTGTCTGCTACTAATTCACACATTAAAAACGAGTGTTACACTTCTACTAGCCAACACACTATTATTACTGCAGTTCACACTCGCCAGCCATTTTGCCAAGTAAAAAAATATGGAAAACAATTCATCGGTATTCAGACACTGTTATCATTCCATATGTGACATCGACACACCAGAAGCTGGGGTCACCCAAAGAACAAAAAGCCCTGACAATATTTTATGTATTCAGATCACATCGATGTGAAGATTTTTTTAAAAAAACTACATGACAACAATATCGTGACTGTGTTTGTTCCGGCCTGTTGTACCGATCAGCTGCAACCCTATGATCTTGTCATCAACGAATCTTTCAAGGAATCTAACTTTCAATTGTGGTACACTGACCGTATTTTGAAGGAACTACAGACGGGAGCTCATATTGCCGATCTTGAAGTCAATCTTCATCTTTTGGAACTAAATCCACTTCATGCTAAATGGTTAGTTGAAGCCATGCAATCTATTGAAAATCGCTGGGAATTGTGTATTTTTCACGTTTTTAACTACTATTTGTGTTAAAAATATGTATTGACTGTAAATACTTTTTTTACCAATGAAATAAAAACTTTACAGCGGGCCCAAGATATTTACATACACCAAACTCCCACACTTGGTAGACAATTACCGAGGGAATTTGCAACATCCCCAGGCACTTTCCAATGATCATTGTAGATGCAAAAAAGTTACATACACACCTACGTGACAGTTAATCAAAACACCGGACGTTGTATGCCTTTGATGTTTGGCCATGAGGAAGGAGGGATAGTTGGACTATTCTATTGCTATGTAGTAACAAAAATCATTGCTGTGTAACACTTGAGAGAAATATAATGGAAAAACTGGGAATGAATATTAACAAGAAATGATAAATGTAAATTCTTTTGGTTTGTTGAGATGTCAGCAATTCCAGGCACTGATTTGACGCTGAAGTAGTGCTAGATGTTGCTAACTTACGACAATAGGTTATACACATTGTTTTCACATTTACAGAAGTTGTAACTAGAATTATAAACATCAGCTGCAAATCAGAGGAATGATTGACAGATATTGCCCACAATGTTTTCTATTTTGCTACAAAGTCAGGTACACCTAGACTTTGAGGTGCGTCTGTCTTTCAGTCACTTTTGGTCAGTCATCGTGTTGACGCATTTTTTGTGGCTTTTGTAAATTTGTTGGAAACATTATTTTAGGTGATAACTGTTTGTCATTAAACTAACTATCTCTCATTTCTCTTTGTGTTGTATTTGTTATCATTTCTGTTGCTAGGATACACTGTCTGCTGCTGACATCATTGTCTGGTCTTCACTCTATCCCCTATTTGCTGAAAATACAACACTTCAATCCCAGCATGCATCAGTCAATAAGTGGTTCCAAGAATTACTCAAACAGCAAATGTTTCAATCAGCTGTTACTATGGTAACCCAGGGGAAAGGTGTCAAGATGTTTTATGACTCCATAGCAATGCAACCTGTAACAAGTCCATCAGTGGTTCATCATAAAAAACTACAATCAAAAGGAATAGTCAGTGAAGACACAGAGGTAAATATGAATAACTTCAAATAATGTAGTGTTATATGTATTCCAGTCACATGACATGCTGTAATCTGGTCAAATGACATTTCTTAACCAATCTCTTACAGAATATCAAATAAAAATCAGTAAATGAAATACTGTAAAACACTTTGAAATAGCTACATGTACACACAAAAATGTACATATCATTTTAGCGAATTTGACTCAATGCGTGAATTAACTGAATCTTAATTTATCTAAAGTGCCAATAATCTTACTTACTAATCTTAAGAATATACTTTATTCTAATTAGTGACATCTTAATTTCGGATTACTAAAATAATGTGGTAGCTAAAAAGACATGTTTTACAGTATTACGTACATTAAGTTCACAAATTTTCACATTGTTATTTGTAGGTTCAATCAAACGAGAAGTGTACTGTGGCTAGTCCATCAGAGGTTGCTATGGCAACAGATGCATGGTATAATGGTTGCAAGTCAGCTCCATTGCCGTATAGACCCAGCCATCCAATGTGAGTTTTAATAATCTTTTAGCCTTTGGTTTAGGTCACATGATTGCCAAGATCAAAATTAAGACAAAAATGGGACAACTATTGTGAAAACTAGTTGTAAACGTAAAAATATAGTTGTCTGATAAAGTTTTTTGTACGTAATTATTTAAAGGCCAAAATTGTCTTTTGTCAGCTTTTAGAAAATAAATCTGAAAATGTTTTGGCATCTACAACGCGAGTCAAATTCATGGCTGGACTTCAACTCCTCAAAAGAAATGTCTAAACTATAAATTGTTTCAGCAAAAATATTGATTGTGTGATGAAATTGTTATTTTTGTTAATTTTAATTTTAATGTTTGTCCAAATGACAACCACTTTTGATATTTAGTAATACTTCAGGACATCCACTAATATAATTCCTTTGAGTGTATTACATCATCTTGAGCTATTTGTATTTTGGTTGTTAATTAATTTTGTTTCTTTTTGTTGACATTAGATATCCAGTTGAAAATAAAGAAAATATTCTTATTACAAGTGCATTGCCTTATGTTAATAATGTACCACATCTTGGTAATATTATAGGATGTGTCCTCAGTGCTGATGCATTTGCAAGGTTAGTGTCTGGATATATAATCTTATCATGATGACCTCTGACCTCGGTCATAATTGGTTGCATGCAT